CACACACACACACACACACACACACACACACACACACACACACACACACAATCAGTTTCATGTATGTCTGTCTTTCTCTTGTTGTTTGCTTTTCTCCTGCAAGTACTTCCTGTGTGGTTGAGTGTGCCTGCAGGACTCTTAGGGGAGCCACTCTGTCCGTGATATCTGTGTGGTGCATATGGTCTATGGGTGATGACAGATGGCTGTCGAAGTGACTCCCTGGCTCAGTGGGCGGTGACAGACAACCAACAGTCTGTGGGGTTCACCCGTGATCCGAGTGGAAGACGTGCCACTTTGCTCCGCGTTGGATCTGTAGACTGCCTTGTCAATGCTCCGCAGCTGCTTTGCTGCCTGTCTTGCTTGCTTAGCGTGTTGTTCTTTGCAAGCTGTTGTGTTCACCATGTAGTGTGGCTGGCGTTGATGTTGCCTTGTGCTTCGCTGCTCCGTTGCCTTGCTGCCCCTCTGCGTGCCTTGCCTTCTGCGTTCTTTGCTTGTGTGCCATGAAGTTTGGCTGCCTTGCTGGTTGTTGCCTTGTGCTTCACTACACGGTTGCTGTGCTGCTCATCCACTTGCCCTGTCGCTCCTTCCAGTTGCTTCTGTTGTTGTGCAGCCGTGTCGCCTTGGCAGCATTGCCTGGTGCTTCCCTGAGTTGCTACCCGCTGCTATGTTACGATTGGGGACAGTCTGCCTTCAAAATGGGTCAAAGGGTTCATGACCCAAACCATCAATAAGGAGGTTCCACAGAGTATCGAGGGTTCAGCCTCCTTATGCATTGGTGCAACTCCGATGAAACCATCTTTCATCATCGTTGTTTTTTTTTTGGGGGGGGGGGTCTTTTGTGTTTCAGGGACTTGTATAGTTTTTTTCCTGGCTTACCTGTTTTGTGTGCTTAAGTGTTGCCCGCCCTCCAACCTCCTCCGTGCTCTCAAGCCTGTGTTCTTCGTTGCTGCATCTTGCCTATGCTTTGTTGCCTTATGCCTTTGCGTGCCCACCCGTCTCCCCCTTGCCCTCCAGCCTTTGTCCTTCATTGTCGACGTAACATACCTTGTTACATCATGCCTCCCCCGTGCCGTCCTGCCATTGTTCGTTGTTGCTGCCTAGTGTTCTATGCCTTGTTGCCCTATGACTTAGGGTGCCCTGCCACCTCCCCCTTACCCTACTGCCTTTGTCCCTTGTTGTTGCACGGCATCACATGCTTTGTTGCTGCGAGCCATTTCCTTTGTTGTCTTTCGTCTGCCTACCCCTTGTTGCCTTATATTGTTTGTTTGCCCGCCCGCCTCCCCCGTGCCCTGCAGCCTGTGTGACCTGACGTCATTAGTTGCCTTGCTGCTGGTTGTGTGCTTTGCTGCTTACTGTCATATGCCTTGTTCTTTCGGACTGCTGCTTTTGGCTCACAACTTAGAGCCTTTGGGCTCTAGTCCTTGTGTCTTCGTAGGGTTGGTGAAAGATAGAGGCCGCTGTATGCAGATTCTTGTGCATTCTTCTTTGGGATGTGTTCCTTCTGTATTCACCATATGATGCACATTGCTCTATGTCCTGGTATGATTTTGATTGCATATCTAAACACAGCCTGTGGCGATCCGCGTTGCAGTGGCCTAAACACACACACACACACACACACACACACACACACACACACACACACATGCGCAGGCGCACACGTTTTGTATAACAAGTACCTGTAAAGTGGCAGTTATTATGCAACCTCCATTCATGTGCCCATCATCTGTGCATGCCTCCCCCATCGCTCCCTCCCTGAGGTGAACCGCCCTCCTATCTTTCCCCGGCCTTTCCCCCACCAGTTGTCCTCACATTCTACCTCCTCATTCCACCCATTCCCGTCCATCACTCGACTTCTGTCCGTCCGTACCTCTGTAATTTCTGCCATCCCTCTGTTCTATGCCCTCGCCTTCCACTGCTTTCTCGATTCCTACACTCATCTGCCCCTCCCTTCATCCTCCGTTCTCTTATATCCCCCCTACATCCATCGGTGCATCTGTCTGCTCTTCTTAAGCTCACCACAAAAGTTATACTTGCTTGAGAGAGTCCAACATAAAAAAATTGCTTGCTGCCAAGAAAACGTAGCCGGGCAGGATATTGATGTTCTTCAGGTATGAAAAGATTCACGTGTCAGAGTCCCAGTCCTTGTGACATAGCCCCACCGGTGTGAGCATTCTGGTAGATCCCATAGATTCATTCAGTAGGACGGTAGGTCCTCAGCCGCATAGGGGCCTACACCGTTATTTGTTGGTAGCTTGTAGGTCCTGAGTCGCATAGGGGCCTAGACCATTATTTGTCAATAGCTGTCAGAGGCCGACATACAGCTCAGTCCCAGGAAGCCCGTGAAACCCAGATGCATTGGAAATGGACCATGGGCGGCAGCCACTTGGGCACCGGTCCGGAAAGATCCGAATTAGGCAAGTGCACCAAGTACCTATAAGACTGGTCGAATCAGAGCATCAACATAATTTCCTTTGTGCACTCTGCGAAAGCACTGCTCCTGTCTCGTGTGGTTGTCACAAGTGGGAGTTGAGCATAGGGTTAGTCAAAGGTGCTGAGCGCCACACACACACACACACACACACACA